AACAAAAACAAAAACAACTAAAAAATCTGAGCACTTACTTAACTGTGGTGACTTAAAAATTACATAATTTGAAGGTAGAATTAGTGAGAATTATTTATCTGTTCTGTGAGAATCATGCAGAAATTTAGCCCTTTCTTGCCCTGCTTGTCAGTAAAATGTATTTAGATGTTTTCATAGTTTAGAATAGTAATAAGTGGTTTTATAATATTACTGTCCAAAATCTTCATTAGAGAGTGAAAAAAGGTGTGCTCTTGCTGGCTGTTTTAGTAAACAAGAACCCTCTGGTGTCAGTTTCTTCTTTTGTATCAATGCTCTTGGGTTTTAGGTGCTCAAAGATGACACATAGGAACTGATGATAATTCTGTTCCCTCGAGGTCCACCACAGGGACCGTATCTAGAGTGCCTGCTCTACTACTTTTCAGTTGCTTTCTTTCCTGATTGCCACAATTAAGACTGGTGAATCTTGTGTTGTGTTGTTCTTTAGTTACTGCATTACTGAAGTTCTTGAAGCATATTTTGGTCTTTGACTTTTTATTTTTTATCACTTGTTTTATTAATTGGTAATATTGGAGTTTTAAATGTTTATAAAAAATGAAAAGATTAACTTGTAAATCCCAAATTATGGTTAATTTAGGCCCAGTCCTTCATCCAGTATTAATGAAAGGATCAATAAGATATTACTCAGGGAGAACTGTGAATCGGTGCCCTGTTTGTTGAAAATTATGGAGTAAACCTATAAGACGTAAGCGTTTTGGTTTTGTTATGTTCAGAAAACCTTTTACAGGCCTTGTTTTCTTATTTTAATAGTTTTTTTTGGGTACAGGTGGTTTTTGGTTACCTGGATAAATACTATAGCGGTGAATTCTGAGATTTTAGTGCACCCGTCACTCGAGCAGTGTACACTGTCCCGAGTATGTAGTCTTTTAGCCCTCACTCTCTCCCAACCTACCCTCCTGGAGTCCCCAAAGTCCATTATAGCACTCTGTATATATTTGCACCTTCATACCTTAGCTACCATTTATAAGAGAGTTAGTTACTGCAGAATAATGGCCTCCTACTCCATCCGAGTTGTTCCAAAAGACATTATTTTGATTCTTTTATGGCTGAAAAGTAGTCTATGGTGTATATATGCCACATTTTCTTTATTCACTCTTTGGTCAATGAACACTTAAGAGTCCACATCCTTGCAATTTCAAAATGTGCTGCAATAAACGTGTGTACACGTGTCTTTTCATATAATGACTTCTTTTCCTTTGGGTAGTAACCAATAGTGGGATTGCTGGATCAAATGGTAGATCTACTTTTAGTTCTTTAAGGAATCTCCATACTGTTTTCCATAGTGGTTGTACCCATTTATATTTCTGGCAGGAGGGTAAACCACATCACGACAACATCTATTTTTTTTTATTTTTTTATTTTTAATTATGGCCGTTCTTGCAGGAGCAAGGTGGTTTCTCACTGTGGTTTTCATTTGCATTTCCCTGGTGGTTAGTGATGCTGTTTGTTGGCTGTTTTTGTATATCTTCTTTTAAGAAATGTCTAATTCCATCCTTTGCCAGCCTTTTGATGGGATTTTTTTTTTTCTTGCTGATTTGTTTTGAGTTCCTTGTAGATTCTGGATTCTAGTACTTTGTTGGTTGCATAGTTTGCAAATATTTTCTCCCACTCTGCAGGTTGTCTGTTTACTATGCTGATGATTTCTTTTGCTATGTAGAAGTTTTTAGTTTAATTAGGTTCCACTTACTTATCTCCATTCTAAAAATGTAGAATTTTCATGGTTTCATGTCTTAGATTTAAGCTTTTGATCCATTTTGAGCTGATTTTTGTATAAGGTGAGAGATAGGAATCGTTTTGTTCTTCTACATGTGGCTTGCCAGTTTTCCCAGCACCATTTATTGAATAGGGTGTCCTTTCCCCAATTTATGTTTTTGTATGCTTTGTTGAAGATTGGCTGTATTTGGCTTTATTTTGTGGTGCTCTATTCTGTTCCACTGGTATTAATGCCTATTTTTATGCCAGTACCATGCCGTTTTGGTAACTATAGCCTTGTAATATAATTTGAAGTCTGGTCAGGTGATGTACAGGCCTTGTTTGAAAGAAATCACATACTTGACTTCTGTGGATAAAGGCAAGTTTCCAACCCCTTACAGCTCTGCCTTTAAAATTTTTGTTAGACTTTCCCTTTTAATATAATTTTGTTGGAATGGGGTATATTTATTCGTCTGAAAACTTGGATTTCTAATAATTAGTTGACATTAGTTTCCTGATCTTCTATGCTGAAGGGAACAAACAGCATGACTGCTTTTATAAACTGAGTTTTATACCTGTTTACCTGTTCTTGTTTAATATACTTTAGAGCTCACCGATTACATTTGCCTAGTTCTACTTTTGTGTGTGTGAGGTGCTGAAGTGTCTAGCTCATTTGTATAGAGATACTGACTTTTGTTTATGAGATGATTATATCCCTAATATCAGCATTAACTGTTTGATAAATGAAAAAAACTTTTTTGAGACGAGTTTCACTCTTGTTGCTGGAGTGCAATGGCACGATCTTGGCTCACTGCAACCTTCATCTCCTGGGTTCAAGCTATTCTCCTGCCTCAGCCTCCCAAGTATCTGGGTTTACAGGCATGTGTCACCATGCTCGCTAGTTTTGTATTTTTAGTAGAGCCAGCGTTCCACCATGTTGGTCAGGTTGGTCTCGAACTCCTGACCTCAGGTGATCCACCTGCCTTGGCCACCCAAAGTGCTGGGATTACAGGAATGAGCCACTGTACCTGGCTGAAAATGGTATGTTGTAATGGAAAGAGTGCTGAGGTGGGAGTTAAGATTCATTCTTGTTTTTAACTTTGCAGCTTGCATTTTTGTGGCAAGTTTAATTTACATCTATAGGACTCCTTTTCTTCATCTGTAAAGTTGAAAAGATGAATTTTAATCATTTTTAAAGATCTATCCTAGTTCATCTGACATTCTATAATTCTTTAATTCTACAGTTTCCTTTCTAGAAAACCAAATATTCTTTTAGTCATTGCATACTACTTCCCTCCTGAATAGGAGCTTGGAAAGTTGTGTTTTTGTAATCACTCAGTCAGAATTTATCACTCATATCATATCCTTTTGTGTACTACTGCTTTCTAAAATTGGTCTCAACCTATGCTAATCTCTTATTTCTTCTCTGTTTTCCAGTCAGAAAGTTCCAGGATATTATCCCTAGGAGGTGCTTCACACTTACTCTCCATGTTTTTGCTCATGCAATCCTTTTCTGTGCACTTTTCCCCACCCTGAAGCCACTTTGAGCCCCTATAACATTTTATTTATAATTATTTTGGCCTTGTATGATAGTTGTTTATGTATTGTGTTATGCTGTATAGGAGACTGTGAACTTCTTGAGGACAGGTGTTCAGTTTTTCATCACTTTACTAATCTTATTACTGATTCACACAATACTTTTCACATAACGGGCACAATATTTATGAAACTAAATTTGTAAAACAATTAGAGCTACAAATACAGTCAGACAAAATACGTTTTTACTATTCATAAATAGTGAAAAATTAACAGGATAATAAAGAAATTACCATAGCCATTTTGAGTTAAAGAAGTATTTTAACCATCCAAAATGACTGCAGATATTTGTATTCCGTGGTTACTTATATACTATCATTCTTGTCTACCATCTATTCATTCTTACTGATTCATCTATATATTTGTATTTTCTCTGTCACCCATTTAACTGCTTGCCTTCATTTATCATTGTAGTTTAGCAGTGCCATGTTCTTAAGCTTTTAATAGTACTTAATTTTGTTAACATTCTTGGTTTGATTTAAATATATAGTTTCCTGACTTTTGTCTCCTTGGTCTTGGTCATTGGCTTATCTACTTTAATCTTCTATTGCTCTCCTGTACTGTTCTAACTATTAACATTTCTTTTCACTGGCTCTTTAACTTTTGAGAAATTACTTTCTCCTTCTTAAAGACACTTTTTTGGGTTGCTATTTCTGGGTAAAGTTTACTTTGATAAGTATCTTAGAATCAGTCTAGTTTTGAGGGTGGATGGTGGAATTGCTGTTCATCAAAAATGAGCTGAGTATCTTACAATAGCAATCCTGGATCCTTTTAATAGTGGAAGAATACCTGTAATTGTGATGATAGCATTAGCCCTTTGGTTAAAGGAGTTGATAGTGATTATAAAAATGAGAGATGTTAATGGGGATTTTTACAAGAGGACTTTTTGATGATTGATTCCCAAATTGTTGAGTTTATCAAAGAATTTCAAAATGTCCATGCTATGTATGAGTAGAGATGAATCTTTTTCCTTTGGATTCATTAATCTCTTTACTCTTTAATTAATTGTCTCTGACAGGTGCATGGTTGGTTTGGACTGGATAAAAAGAAAAAGGCAAATAAGACAATGAGTAAAAAAACTGAAAATAAATAGGAAAAGCAAAAGATGTATATTGTCAAAAGTTGCCTATCTTTTAGTTATTTGGAATTAATAGCCTTTATTGAAGGATCCTTGAGAACATTATGTGAAAGAAAGGGGATTTGAGAAGATAATGTGAGAAAGTCCAGAGAGAAGTTCTGTTGTACTAAGTTTAAAACCATGTTGATTTTAGTTTTATTTTTATAGCACATCTCAATCTCTTTTTAAGAGCTTATAGTATTAACAGATACTTAAGCTTTTATTTGTACAATAGCAGATAGTAGCTTGTATTTTCCTAAGGTATATTGACATTTAAATAGCTTTTCTCAGAAAGCATATGAATACACTTACTGATACAATATCTCTTTAAGGATACAAAAGAGGAAAAACATGCACTGTTTAACTGTTCTATAAGAAAGAGTAAATAAACAAGGAACCCATATCCAAGACTCTTTTTCCTAGTATTTATAATAGAAGCATTTTATAGTAGAAAGCAAAATTGCATGTAGACTTAAGAAAAGAATTTTGGTTAATTTTGATTTTAGATAATATTAAGCCATTTATTTTATTTTAACAGGTATCTTTCAGATGAAGGCATTGAAGCTTGCACAAGCTCTCCTGGCAAAGTCAATGTAAATGACATCATCCAGATTGCTCTCAATGTAGGTTATATTTATTAACTTATAAACATTTCAAATCTGGAAGCTATATTTATAAAAAAAATCTCAGAATAAATTGGGTTATCTGATAACTAATATGGAGAACATCTTATTTTGTCCATTTTAACTTGAAGTGATGTTTGTTGAATTTGGTAATCTCATATTAGTAAGTTAATATCTATATACAGAATCTGATGAAAAAGAAAAAAATGAAATTATTCCTTTTTGTCACCTACTGATCAGTTATAGACTTTTTAAACATTCTTATTTATATTTACTTCTTATTTACATACTATAGCTATGTAATAGTAAAAACGGAATATTCATTAAAATGAATTGCTATTTAATTTACATAGAAACTCTAGGTAGGTTATAACATTTTGACAGTGGTATTTATTGTTTCAAAATAACTTTTCCTGATTATTTTGATAACTTTGACTCTTTCAAAATAATACTTATTATGGAACATTTCAGAAAATACAGAAAAGCAAAATGAGAAAACTAAATCTGCTTATAATTACTATTAATGTTCTAGCGTGTATTTCTTTTCAACTCTTTCCACCCAACCCTCTAGCTGTTTTTTTTCCCCATAATTGGATTGGCTTTTGGATTTTTTCAAGTTATAAAAATGGTTTGAAATAAAAATGTAAGTTAAACAGGCCAGGCACAGTGGCTCACGCCTATAATCCCAACACTTTGGGAGGCCGAGGCTGACGGATCTTGGGGTCAGGAGTTCAAGACCAGCCTGGCCAATATGGTAAAATCCCATTTCTACTAAAAATACAAAAATTAGCTGGGCGTGGTGGCTCGTGCATGTAGTCCCAGCTACTTGGGAGGCTGAGGCAGAAGAATTGGGAGGACTTGGGAGGCGAAGGTTGCAGTGAGCTGAAATCACACTACTGCACTCCAGCCTGGGTAACAGAGTGAGACTCCGTCTCAAAGAAAAAAAAAAAAGTAAATAAACAAATGGTTTTTTCTCAGAGAACTATAGTCTGACAAATCCATCATATCACTGCAGAATCAATGTAAAGCAGAAATGATGGGCACTAAGAACATTTAAAATATAAATAAATATATAACTATAGCTTTTTCTTTTAAAATTACTTAAATTTATTTTTATAGAATTAAACTTGGGTTTAAACAGATAAAATTTAAGTCCTAAACTGAGTCATTGTTTTTCAGCTACTTTGAATTTTATTTAACAAGACAAGCAAGATCATTTATTTTGGTTTCTGAGCTAAGTATTTAGGTTAATAAGTAAAAGACTACTTTTTTAATAATAAGCATTAGTTAGAAATTATGCATGTTATTTATGACTAAAAATGTTCATATTTCCTAGCTACTTTAGTTTTCTTTGTCTTGCACTCAAATTAGTTAATTCCATTGTTTAAAAATAGTAGAAAGAACTCTATTTTTTTGTTTATTTAAGAAAAACTTTAAAGATTTTAGGAGAGATTTTATGACAGCTTGCTGCTTTTTTTTCTTATATATGCAGGTAAATACCAATAAACTATAATTTGTATGAAAATTTAAATAAAATAAATCAAGATAAAATATTTATGCTGAGCACATAAGAGGTGCATGCTATTATCTGAATGAATTAATTTGTCTTTATTTTCTCTGAAATATGTGTTTGAATACTCCAGACCAAAGCTGCGATGTCATATGATAGGAAAAAAACTTTTTAATTAGGATGAAGCCTATAGCAGACAAGTAATCTATTTTTCTAAGTTTGTCATCTTTTAATAAAATTTAGGCATTTATAGTATCCTGTTGAATTTTTTTCAACTTTTGAGTGATTGTGGGAAATGAACTACTAGTTGAAAAAGACTTGTATTATTGATTCTTATTGTGCATATATGTACCCACACATGCATAGCTAATTATATATTGGGAGAATAATTCATGAATAAGTTTTCTTCTCTTCTTCCTATGGGGTACACACTGAGCTTGTTTCTTTATCTAACAATGAACAGTGCAGTAACATGTATATGGTATTTCTCTCCAGGGAAGCCCACTGGAGGTTAGTACTGAAGTCTTTTGTTAAGCTGCCTGCAAAGGTACCTTCTGCATAGCATGTACCAAAATTTCAGACCCCTCCCAGAAAACAGATGTCCATCATAAATCATATTGTTTATATGAATAATCTATGTAGTGAACCACATTTTTAGTTAGGGAATGGTCCAAGTGCAAAGTCCCCAGCTGCCAGCCTAGGATTAACCTTGTAAACTGGCCTTTGTAAAGATGGCTGCCTCAGACCTGCTATGTAACTTTTAGGCTTAGATTTTTGTGTTGAAAAGGAATGGTTTACATTTTTTGCTTTTTAAAGTGGGGAGTTAGAATGTTAAGAAGTGACATTGAAATCTAGCATGTAAGTTTTATGTTCAAATACCAGAATTATTCAGAAAAATATTTAATGATAGCCCAGTCTTAAATTACTGATTACTATCCATTATTAAAAATTTAAAAACAAATTATACTTTTATTTATTTTAAGATTCTGTATAATATAAAATGATTTTCCAAATAGATATTCTCTTGAATTTACTTAAATAAATAGGGATTTTGTGTGTGTTTGTGTGTGTGTGTGTGTGTGTGCGTGTGTGTGTGTGTGTGTGTGTGTATGGGTAGGTAGATGCTTTAAAAATTATTTTTAAAGTTTTATAGGCAAAACATTTTTCTGTATTATTATTTTTTGTTGTTCAGTATAACAGCATTCTTGGATCCAGTCATCGTCATAGCAATTTTGATACAGTGGCATCTGAATACTAACTTTGTCTTTATAGTACTTATATGTTGAGTTGAATTTAGGGCATTTAAATATTTGGTAGATTATTTTGATCTTGCTAAAAAGGCATCAAAATAGCATTTGTATATTCAAGGACACATACTGTATATATGTATGGACTTTAGAAATTCTGTAAACTTTGAGTGTATAGTTTTTTTTTTAGCCTGACAACAACTTTGTGAGATAGGGTTGATTGTGGTTTTCCATTTTAAAGAGGTGTAAATTAACTGGGTGTAGAGAATTAGTGACAGTGTTCTATATCATATGATTGCTTAATTACAGTTGGGATGGATCAAAGTTTAGGATTGTTGTCTGGTGCTCATTTATTTTACAGTGATGCCTCATTTTCATTTGAATTAAATTTCATAATTATTGAGAGAAACCAGAAATTAGGGATCATGATATATTATAAAATTTTTATGTGTTCTGTTTCTCATTCATATTTAAATATTTCAGCTTTTTGGTGACTTCAAAATAACGTAAATGTTTTCATGAAATGTTAGTTACATTATTGATATGATGGTTATGTATGTTAAGATGATTTTAAAAAGTACATGTTTTATACTCACTAAAACATGTTGGCTATCATTTATTAAGTGCTTACTCTGTGCAAGTCATTACACTGAGTGCTTTGCATCTATAAACATTTAATTTTAAAGCAGTCTTACTATAGGGAAGACTGCTGTAAAAAGGTATTTTTTTGACCTTTTGTTATTCAGTGCTTTCCAAGTGAAAAGACATACAACGTGAGGTACAGTTTATATTTATTTTCATTTAGTTATTGGATTGAGGTAGCAAAAAGCCTAGCTAAAGCATTGTTACCCAGGTGTCTGGATTTGGCTCTTAATTTGCCATTCAATTCTTTTTAGTGAGTTTTAATTTGAGTGATCCCTACAGTACATAAAGGAATAAATTATGAATCACAGTGGTAAAAAACTGGAAAGAATCTGTGGGGATTATATAACTTATAGTCTTGTTTCTTAAAGAGCTGACCACATGTGGATATTTCAAATAGGAGGATATTCAATTATTGTAGGTATTCAAATAAGATGGTCCTGCCCCTCTGTGTGTATTTATTTCACATCACAGTAATTGTAATCATCTAGTGTTTTCTTCTTAAGTGTAACAAAAAATTTTTTCTTATAATTTATGTGGTTAAATGAACTCTAAATCTGTTTTCTTTTATCTTGTTCTTAAGGTGATGACGAGCTACTGTTTATTATAAGGAAAAATAAAACAATGCAACTTTAGCATTGTTAATTGAAATTAACTTAATCTCAAGCATCAAGTTAATTTCTTAGTTTAAATAACTGGACCTTTTTTTTTTTTACGAGTACTGATAGTTTTCCTATGAACAAATTTCTTACCATTCCTTTATATTTTCACTTTCTAAAGAGGACACAGTCCTACAGTGTTCTGCTTTGTATGTAGATTGTGTAGTCAAAATTTTCTTTTTTTATGTCATGAATGCTATAACCTTGTTTATGTTAGTCCTTGTATTTTCCTTGCTGAGTTACAAGTACTCTGCATTTTCATATTTCATTTGTTTACCAACTTCGATTTCTGTAAATTGTTTAAGCAAATGAAATTACTATAGTAAAGGTTACTGTAACTTCTTTGGCATTCCAGTGGTCTTGTTTCCTGGGATATTGTATGTTATGTAGCTTTATGTTATAGATATTATAGCCTATAGGGTGATATGTTTTTATGTAATGTCAAGGTATATGGGATTCAATTTTTAAAAATATACTATGTGTATTTATTCAAAAGCTGTCATTTGATCTTGGAAGGTAACATTAATTTTTTAGTAAGATCATAGTTTACATAAATTAAGTTTTAGATTTTAATAGAGAAGAGTTAGTATGTTAAAAGGTTACCTAAAGAAATATGACCAGGATTGAGGACTTATATGTCACTGTTCATCTTACTGGTATACTTAAAACAACGTATTATGGGGGCGATGTTACTTGAAGGATTCATAGCATATATAGATCTCATGACCAGTTAAAAGAAACTGAATTTTTGTTTCACAAACCATAAGTAATTTCATCTTTTGTTCATGAGATTAGATTTAAATTTATTCTTTTCTATAATTCCATTTTAATAATAATATTTTTATTTTAGACAGATCTGAGAACAATTGGCAAGAAATTCCTCCCCGCTGACATCAATAGTGGAAAGGTAGAAAAGGTAAAGAAAATCAATAACTTCTTAAATTATGCTAACGACGATAAATACGAACTGAATTACTGGAATTATTTTTTGCCAATAAAGACTGCAAACTCTGGAGGTGAACAGGTCACAAAGTCATTGTTATGGTGACTTCCATGGAAAATTATTAAGAATTAAACTTTTGGTGGCTTTTCAACATTAAAAAAAACCTTTTGTTTCAGGAATTATAACTATGGTATGCTTACATGAACTGTGAGACCTACCAGATGTAATTGGCGCTCATTACAGGGACCTTTTCTTATCTTTCAATTTTATTTACCTTTTTATTTTAGTTACCTTAATAGACTATTATGTTTATTTAATGAACTTACTGTATGCAAATATAAGATGAGGAAAGAATGTTAGGAGCAATTTGATGAAGCTGTGCATTTGTTTATTGCCATCGTTTTGCAGTACACACATATGTATTTGTATTACTACTTTTTTTGTGTGTCAGCAAATTATATTTTTACCTGAATGTTTAACGCTGCAAGTTTAAGTTTATAATGTCTGTTTTATTGTCAGGGGAAATGAAGTACATCTGGTTATCTTCTTTTGTGAATAATTATATACTTGAAGACATATCACTGCCACAGGTTTCTTTTTGTGAAAGCCATCTATCTTGATTCATTTACTTATTCTCAGTCTCAAGCTTCTCTTTCATCTCTATTGTTCTTCTTAGAATCCTCTCCAGTTTCTTTACATTTCTTTTTCTTTTGGTTATAGTAGTTATCTCAAACTTCAGTGTGCACCAGAATTTGCTGGAGGTCTGGCTAGAACACAGATTGCTGGACTTCAAACCCCCTCTAGTCGCTTCTGAGTTTCTGATTCATTAAGACTAGAATGGAATCCATGAATTTGCATTTTGATCAGTTTTCCAGGAGATGTAGAATTCTGGGAAGCATACTTAAAAAAGTAGGCAACAATATTGACTAGATGTGTTGAGTGCAGCAAATTTCTACAGGAAGAGTAAATAATGTCAAAGCAATGTCTGTACATCCTTATATTACCTAAGAAGATTTTGAAGCTTTCTGGATTCTTGGTTTTCTGCTTTCTCTGTGTGTCCTAAAAGATGTTGAGAACTCACCTCTGCTGAAAGCTCATGGGATAGTAGTACAGAGACTCTTGTCTGTTCCCTTCACTCTTTCAGAGTGTTTTGCTTTTGAAAGTTTTGCACAGTGATCTCTTTGTCAAATTTTATCTTTGAAAATATTATTAATGTAAATGTAACTTTTCACATGAAAAAAATTGATATCTCTGCTGTTCCTCTTTGATTATATTTTTTCTTTCATTACCTACTTCCAATACAGTATTATTAATAAACTGATAGTTCTCTAGAATTATTATTTTCACATAATTCTTCTTCTTTTTTTTTTTTAATAGAGGTTTGCTCTGTTGCTCAGGTTGAAGTGCAGCGATGTGATCTCAGCTCACTGCATCCTTTGCCTCCTGGGTTCAGGTGATTGTCCTGCCTCAGCTTCCTGAGTAGCTGGGACTACAGGCACGGACCACCATGCCTGGCTAATTTTTGTAGTTTTAGTAGAGATGGGATTTCTCCGTGTTGGCCAGTCTGGTCTCAAACACCTGACCTCAAGTCATCCTTCCACCTTGGCCTCCCAAAGTACTGGGATTATAGGTGTGAGCTGCCATGCCTGGCCTTTTCACATAATTATTCTTATTTATATTATATTTATGTGATATAAGAATATATATTATTCTTACAGAATTAATAATTGCCTTCACCAGTATTAATGAAGATATTTTGAAAAATAATTTAAATAACCATTTTAGAAGTTGACACACAGAAATTACTCATTAGGTTTGCCTTACATTGAGATATCACTCCACACCAGTTAGAATGACAATCATTAAAAAATCTGGAGACAACAGATGCTGGAGAGGATGTGGAGAAATAGGAATGCTTTTACACTGTTGGTGGGAGTGTAAATTAATTCAACCATTGTGGAAAACAGTGTGGTGATTCCTCAAGGATCTAGAACTAGAAATACCATTTGACCCAGCAATCTCATTACTGGGTATAAACCCAAAGGATTATAAATCATTCTATTATAAAGACACATGCACATGTATGTTTGTTGTGGCACTGTTCACAATAGCAAAGACTTGGAACCGACCGAAATGCCCTTTAATGATAGACTGGATAAAGAAGATGTGGCACATATACACCATGGAATACAATGCAGCCATAAAAAAGGATGAGTTAATGTCTTTGCAGGGACATGGATGAAACTAGGAACCATCATTCTCAGCAAACTGACACAAGAACAGAAAACCAAACACCGCATGTTCTTACTCATAAGTGGGTGTTGAACAATGAGAACACACAGACACAGGGAGGGGAACATCACATACCAGGCCCTGGGGTTGGAGGACTAGAGGAGGAATAGCAGGTGGTGGGGGGGTTGGGGAGGGATAGCATTAGGAGAAATACCTAATGTAGATGACAGGGCAATGGATGCAGCAAACCACCATGGTACATGTGTATCTATGTAATAAACCTGCACTATCTGCACATGCACACCAGAACTTAAAGTATAATAAAAAAACAAAAAAACAATGTAACTATCTTCAGCCAAAGTAATATTTAAGGAATGTATTTTTGATGTGAATTGATACATTATTTTGGCTTCTTTGTTAGTAAAGTAAGACTAATGTAGTAAAAGTTCCTTATTTATTTCTTCATTGGAATGCTTTATTAACCAGCATTTTACCATTAATGATGACTATAAATACAAGACTCTAGAATCAGTCACTACTGCTCAGTTACTAACATTATGTAAGTTATAGTTTTTGTTTAAATTAACTCAGTTTTAATCTGTGAATAAGATATAGAACAACATTTGGCAAACAGAATATTTGAATGAGTAATCTGCCTATATCTCTTGACCATACCAGATTTTGGTATAAAATTATATTTTCTAGTTATTCTTTTTTTTTTTTTTTTAATATTAGATCAGAGTGAAAGAAAGAGCAAGCTGGGTTATCTAATGATCGTTCAAATAGGGCGTGCTAGAAACCAACGTTCCAAAAACCAACTTAGAAAATGTAAAATATACGATAGACCAGCTATTTTAAGAAGGAGAGGAAGCATGGTTGTGACATGTTTCTGACTGAGAGTGGAGGGGAATTAAATGATAGGGATCAGGAACAGATTGGAAAGTCCACATATAGGGTCGTTGCCCTGGATTTAAATCTTCTTTTTCCTGCTTACTAGTTTTTGTGACTTTTCTTAAGTTAGTTAATCTTGCTAGATTTTAAATTCCTTCTTTAAATGCTACTCCCTTATGACATTGAAGACCTCAATGAGATAATGTATGTGACACACTAAATAGTACAATGCATATGGCAAGCTTTGAGAATTATGAGCAATTTAGGATGTTATTTTTATCTTAGAAGTCTAAGAATATATGAATCCTTATTATGTCAGTTAGGTATCTTGTTACTGAGTGATCTTCAAGGGGATTCAGTGAATAAGGTAAATTGGTAAATCATTATTGTCTGGGTTTTGGCCCCAAACCCCATGCAGAATGCTACTACTTGAGGTAGGTTGGCCTCTGTGATAGAATTAAGGGAAGCTAAAAGCGCTGCTCTGTTTCTACTAAGCTCCAAGCCCATCTAATACTACCATTTCTGAGAGAGAAAGCCAAAGGAGAGTGAGGACTGGAGAGCATTTGACCCAATATTTAAGAAGCAGTTAAAAGGCAACAGGTAGGGGGAGGAGGCTGTCATCTTAGTAGAAGCCACCTCTATTAACCTTATGTGGTCCCTTTGCAAGGGCCTCACCCATGTATTTTCCAACCACCTTGGAATCTTATTCACTAGTCCTGAGGCTCAATACAATACTCTGGAGCTTCCCCAAGACAAATCATTAATTCTTTTTGGAGGTAGATTAAAGGATTGTAGAGAGAAGTCTTCAAACTTCATCTCTTGAATGCCCAAAGTAAATGATCACACAGTGTGTATTATTTTTGTAATTAATAAAACTTTGATAATGCTGTTTTCAGCCTTTGGGAACTTGAGAATGAAAAGGGAGAATGGGGAGCTGATATCTGTGATCAGGTAAGAAAGATTCTAAGTCTGTAGTTAGAAGACAGCTAATTGTGGACACATTGAATTTACATCTCTTGTTCTAAGATACATCAGAGGACTTCAGAAAGGCGTTGTCCTGAAGCTTTGAAACTGAAGTCTTAGTAATGACTATTATCACTGATTATTTTGGGAGAAGGTAGAATGGGAAAAAGTAGAAGTAACTTTATTACTAATTAATATAGTGGTTTTGCTCAGGTTCTTTTCTCTTTCTTCTATTCTCTTAACATTATTTTTCCATTTTTATTTTTTCTCTACAAAGTTCTCCCAGAACCTTGATGCAAAAGTTTCAGAAAAATTTAAAAACTGGTGACAGTTGGGTGATAACAACTTTTTCTAGGCTTTCAGATTTTCTTATAGGCACTTTATATCGGATTCAAAAGCTGTAAAGTGTGAGTGGAGGTGAGTGTGTTAGGGAAGCTGTATTTTGCAACTGCTTTTCTGAGTTTTTCAGGGCATGCGTTATTTTTCTCAGATATTACCAAGTCTTAGGACTGCTGTTGCAGCTCATAGGCTAAAAATTATGGAAAAAGTCATGATTAAAAGGAAGTATAACTGTTAATATTCTTAATATTCTTCTTCTATTTTAATACCTTACTGTAGCTTTTTTTAAACCAAGGTGTAAAAGTTAATAATAAAATATAGTTTAGTTGAAAATACTTTGTTACCAATACAGCTACCTGAGGACCTCATGTACTGCTATGGAGTTCTAACTGTACACTCTTTCAGTTCTGTGTTTATTTTTTTCTAAGTTATAAGAATGACAAGTTATACCTGCCTTTTTAAATGTAAAACTATGATTAAGACCTAATTTTCCCAAATATGAGTGACTGTCTCAAACCTCAGCAGTACTGATATCAACCACAAGATGG